TGGCAGACTTGGCTGACGACATCTACAGGGTATTGCGGCTTGTGCTTTAGAAGGTAGAATTTAAGTACTATTTAAACCGCAGTTCAGATGGTTTAGATAGTAATTTTTTTAATATGGTCCAAAGAAACTTATCCAAAAATTTTATTACTCTGTATGAGTTTTGTAATAGTAATGTCATCATGGCTAGGCTTCGCGAACGAAGATTTGGGAAGGCTCTATCCACATTTGTTGCAGGTACGCTGGTGGCTTATGAGGCCAATACGTGACAGACATATCCGATTGCAAAAGGCACAGCAGAAAGATTCCTTAGATGGTATATTCTGCAATACACGGTTCTTTCTGCGTTGCCTTTTATCCTCAAGGGTGATCCTGTGTGCGTTCTCAAAGGAGACAGCAGCGTCATAGATTGGAGGCCAGAGTAGACCAGTTATGTTGATCAATATGGCCAAGGCTGAGATGTTGTTTCAGGGAGTCCCTGTATCTTTTCTTCGGGGCTCCTCTCTTGCGGCAGCCAGTGGCAAGTTCACCATAAAGCAAGATCTTAGGGAGGCAGTGGTCCTTCATCCTGGAGACGTGCCCTGCCCCGTGCAGCTGTGTTCTCAGTAACATGGCCTCAATACTTGTGACAGCTGCTTGCTCTAGAACAGATGTATTGGTCACATAATCTGACCAGTGGATGTTTAGGATTGTGCGGAGGCAGCGTTGATGGAAGCGTTCTAGGAGACGCAGGTGGTGGCGGTAGATGACCCATGATACGGAACCATACAAGAGAGTAGACAACACTATGGCTTTGTAAACACTGATCTTGGTGCTTTTCTTCAAGTGTTTATTACGCCATACTCTTTTGTGAAGTTTTCCAAAAGCACTATATGCCTTTGCTAACCTGTTGTCTCTCTCTCCGTCAATCTTGCCATCCGAGGAGATGAGGTTACCTAGGTAATTAAACTGCTGGAAATAGTAATGTAAAAACTCAACAATTACCAGGGAAATCTTCCCCCTACTCTCCATAGATACTGCTTTTTGAATTTTTAACATTTGGAACATTAGGGCTAAATAAGCATTTAAGACTTGTTATATAAAACTGATCATTTCAAACAGAAATCACACATATATTCAGATTAGTTCTGCTTGCCTCTGCTCAGGGGAAATCAGCTTGTATTTGAATCTATTAAAGGCAGAAAGATTTGGTTTCAGCCTCATCTTTTACTACTGCATTACTGTTAAGGAAGTTGAATTATTACACTTCACTTTCATTTTTCTATGGAAGTTTTAAAACTTTTGTTTTTCTAAGATGTTAGAAAAATCAAAGAAAAACAGAAATGCAAGTAGATATGATTGTTAGTATTTTTATGGGCTAATAAAGGCATTAATTCACAGTTTTACTGGTTCACTCCCTATTAAGTTCTAGAAGAGTTCTCCAGAGGTATATTTTGAGCAAAACTACTGCCATTCACTTGGACCTTCCACTTTCAGGCCAGCAGTTCTCACTGCCAATCCTCTGCATGCAGTTACAACAGCAGAAACTATCATTGAAAAGGTAAGATACAAGTCCAGTCAGTGGATGCTCTAGTCTTTTAAAGCTTAGATTTTGCAATAGCCAGTCCTAAAATCCATGCTTATCAAATGTATATTGTTCCAGCATGCCAGAAAAAATCTATCAAAATCTAAACTCAGTGTATTCTGCAGTCTATTTTATAGACATATGTTCTGAATCCAAGTTCTCCAAAACTCTCCTTACTTTGCAAAGAAAAAAGGAATATCAAAAAGACACACAAGGAGACGCCATTAAAAACTTTCAATAGTATCATAAGTGACTATCTCAGGAATACTGTGTATAGAAGGTATTCATATTTATTTAAAAAAAAAAATCTCCATGCAGAGCCTTTTGCAAAGTTGCAATGGTGATTGATTTGTTTTGGTAAGTTCGGGGCTTATAAGACCTTCTGTGAGGTTAACCCTCCAAAGGGGTAACCAAGGGGTTAATAAACCCTCTGTATTTCACCCTATAAAGAGCAAAGCTCTGAGGCAATGAGGACACCAAACCTGCATTAATCCCTCCTAGCCTTCAGTATTATATGATAAAATATGTAATCTTTATTGACCAAAGCACAGACGAAACCAAAACAAGGTGTTTATCTGCAAAATGAAGACAACTGTATTTGCACTTTCTCAGATACAAGTGTACAAGTAGAACTCTTAAGTATAACTTAGATGTTTTCAGCAAGTTTTCAAGGTATGACCTTTAACCATTATGTATTTATATACTATCAGAGGGCTGGAGCACCTCTCCTATGAAGACAGGCTGAGAGAGTTGGGATTGTTCAGCCTGGAAAAGAGAAGGTGACAGCTTATAGCACCTTCCAGTACCTAAAGGGGCCTACCAGAAAGCCAGAGAGGGACTTTTTACAAGGGCATATAGTGATAGGACAAGGGGGAATGGCTTTAAACCAGAGGGAGGTAGGTTTATATTAGATATTAGGAAGAAATTCTTTACTGTGAGGCACTGGAAAAGGTTGCCCAGAGAAGTTGTGGATGCCTCACCCCTGCAAGTGCTCAATGCCAGGTTGGATGGGGCTCTGAGTAAAACCTGGTCTAATGGAAGGCATCCCTGCCCATGGAGGGGGTTTGGACCTGGATGAACTTGAAGGTCCTTTTCGATCCAACCCGTTTTATGATTCTATGTTTCCATTACCTACTGCTCTAAAAGAAGTTGGAAAAATTAAAAAATCTTGAGGTTTTGTAAGACATTTAAAACCAAACTTGTGACATTTTGCATTTATTAGTGTATCAAATATCTTTTAAGAGGGAAGAACGCTTGGAATGTCACTGTTCTCCCGAGTGAGACAAATGTATGAAAAAATTTATTTTGAAAAAGGGAGGAGGCAACCAGAGAAGACCATAACTTGTGTATAAAGTATTGTTTCAAGTCACTACACACTTTTGTACTTCATAAGGCAAGAAAGAAGCACTTGGAAATTTTACACAGATTTTAAGAAATAATACTGATACTTTTCATGAAGTATCAGTATCAGATTACTGACATTAGTAACAAGCAAAGCCTAGCAGTAGAGAAATTAACATCTTATGCAAAGACCAGAGATAGAAATATTGCCATTTACACCTTCACCCACCCTTTGTGGCTGGGAATGTAATGCTGCATCCATTTCAATTAGGCTGCTTTACGTCAGAAAAACAAATAGGCAGGAAAGAGAGATGAAGCTTAGTGGCAGTCTTTCAAAGTCCTACCAAAAGATTGTAAAAGTAGTCCCATGCAGTAAGCAAGTACCTAATTTTGGACAATCTCTGAACAAAAGAGGGACTCTAATTTTCTTTAAATGTAAGCTTTAGTTGTACAGAAAACAGTATTTCCTGAATTCTGTAAATCAGATGGATCAATTAGGTTGTTAACTGTAAACAGCTAGTTTTACTTCTCATGCTGGATTTTATGAGTTCACGTATTCTGTTATGTTTGCTGCATGCAAAAACTTAAACCATCACAGTTTTCAGGCACTTGTACTAGTATTACCAGTCAAGAAAAGACTAGTATTTTTTTTCTTCTATAATAGTCTAAGATACTTTTAAAAGTTGAACTGTACCTAATGTTTCTTCCTTTTCCAAACTTTGTGGTTTTCCTATATATTTTCTATGAAAAATGAATAGGTTCAAAAGTAGTACTTATAAGAGCATTCCTTTTGTTTCATGAAAGAATTTACATGCCCAAATCAGATTGCTGGCCCCCATGTTGTTTTTGACGAATAATAAAATACCAGACTTGGTTGGAAGTTGCTCCAGGGTCTCATACTATAAGCTTTTGTTCCTTTCAATTAACAGTGGTGCTGGACTTTCTGTGACAACCACTCAAAGGCCTTGTTTATGCCCGAAAGTTCACGCTATCACTGCCTACACAGCAGTACGGTGGTACGGTACGAAGCCAAAGTTCATTAATCTTCAGTGTAAGGCACAGCTTCAGCCTCACATGTTTGTGCATATAAGTACTTCTAGGTTTGCAAATCCGCAGGGAATGCCTCAGCTTCCTGTAAGGGGAAAGCCGTCCCCGTGCTCGGCTGCCGGAGGTGCCGTGGGGCGGGCGGTGTCTCGCCCGGCAGCGGGGCAGCCGGGCGGCCTCTCCGCCACCGTCGAGAGCTGCGAGAGCTGCCTCTCCCCCGCCTACATCCGCCCGCCCGAGAACGGGAAAGGGTAAGTTACTTAGGGAGGGAAGAGAGGTCCGGCGGCGGAGGACGGGGACCAGCCGGAGGGAACCCGCTGCCAGCCGGACAGTGGCTCCTGTCACGGCGACGGCTGAGCCTCCCACAGGAGCCCGCCCTGCCTGCGCGGCCAGGGAGGGAGGGCGGGAGGCGGGTGGAGGAGACACCCCCCGCCTTTATCGCTCGCACAGCACCGGGGTGTGCTGGTTCTCGTGGCCGCCGCCGCAGAGGAGCCTTCTCGGGGGGCAGCGACTACCGGGAACCCTCCTTATCCTGCCCCAGCAGCTCTGCCCCGCGCACGGCGCCCCGGCGCTGCAGCCCGACCCCGCCTCCCCCGAGGTCGATTCCGTGCTCTCCGTTCTTCTCCCCGCCGCGGCGCCCGACTTGGTTCAGCCCGGGGCAGGCGCTAGGAATAAGCCCTGTCCCCTTTGAAGAGCCTCGGTTCAGGCTCGCCTCCTCCCTCCCACCGCCGCTGCGCACTGCTCGGTGCCGACTGGGCCCTCCCGCCCGGGCGGCGGCGGCTCCAGCTCCAGCTCCACAAGTTCCTGCTGCCCGTGCCCGGGGCGCGCGCACGAGGCTGGCTCGGCCGTCGGGGGCGCCCGGCGGGAGCGGCGGGAGCAGCAGCAGGAGCGGCGGGAGCAGCAGCAGCAGCAGCAGAAGCAGGAGCAGCACCAGGAGGGGCGGCGGCGGGAGGAGGGCTGTTATGCAGGAGCCGCCGATGCCGCTGTGAGATGGCATCATTCTGCGCGGTGGCGGCGGCGGAGCGCGGCGCGGAGGGGTGAGGAGCCGCCGCGGCGGCGAGGAGGCGACGGAGAAGAAGAAAGAGGTGGGAGGAAGGAGAAGGAGGCGGCAGCAGCTGTGAGGCTGCGAGCCACGGTAAGAGAACAAAACCGGCTGTGCCGCAGCCGGTTCGGCTTGCGGTCTGGCCCGGCAGAAACGCGACTGCCGCTCTCGTCGCTCTTCGCCGCCGTTCGGACGTGGGGGAGCGGGGGCGGCAGGGGCAGGGGGTTGGGCGCTGGACGGGTGCGAGCTGCCCCCTGTCACCGAGGGGCGGGGAGGAGGGGAATGGGCGTGGGGGCTAAAATGGCGAAGGGAGCTCTACTGAGGTCTCGGTCTCTCTTTTCCGGCAGTGCAACTCGTCGCACCCCTCGGGCGCTGCTGGCGGGGGGCGGCGGCGGCTGTTGCTTCTCCCCTCCCGATGCCCCATATGGTGCCCGGAGGATTGTTGTGTTTCCCTGCCGTCTCCCACCCTGGCTCGAGTCTGGACAGGGCTCAGGGCCTCTGGGCCCGCACCTGGCGATGGGAGGGAGGGTCGGGGCTATGTTGAGTCTGTGGAGGTGTGGGGCGGGGGGAGAGAGAGGGAGAGTGTCGCCGGTGTCCGGTGTCAGGCGAATAACCTTGTTTATTCCTGTCTACGGCCTTTGCGAGGGTGACTGAGGACTGAGTCCTGACCTGTGTCAACGCTGAGTGGATTGCGAGAGGCTTTAGTGGCCGGGAGTCAGTGAGGCAGTTCCACGGCCGGCCCCCGCTTGCTTATCTGCCGGGTGAAAACAGGAGAAGGATATTGTTACGTTTCGGTTCACCTTCCCTTGGTGAAGCCGGGCAGGGAGGAGGTGAAGAGCCGTTTCCCCTCTCCAGTGCACTGCTGTCACTCCTCACGGTGCCAAAGTGTGCCTCGGCTCAGAGGCAGAGGGCACGGTGGGGCGCGAAGTGGCTTCGGGCACCGCTCAGATTATAGGTATCTGCTTGTCTCTCGGGGCCCTCATGATGTGTGTTTGGCTGAGCAGACTGTGAATTCAAGATCTCAAAAGACCTGTTTGTGTCATTTATCTTTGTTTACGTTGTTGCAAAATGTTACAACTCAATCCAACTGTTTATTTACTTGATTTTATTTGTAGTTGTCTTATTTTTGGAATGATACCAATTCTCATCCCAGTTTAACTAGGAGCTCTGCTTCCAGATCTGTAAATGTTTAAACTATATATCAAAGAAAGAAAAGGACTTAACACCACCTCATCATTTTAATGGGAGCTCTTTGATGTTTGGGTGAAACAGTAAAAAGAGGTATTTATATTTCAGTTGTATTTTCACAGGGCACCTGTGTCATATAATAAGTCATCAGGATATTGTGCATTGAAAAAAACTCAGGTTATGCAAGTCTTATAATACTAACTTACTAGGTGATGCAGTCACCCACTGCAGGTAACTGGGTTATATAGGATCATACATGTGAAAGACGGTATGGCCTTCATGAGTCTCCCCTTCAAACTGGTGTTCTGTTTTAATCCCTTTGTGATATAGAAACAAACTGATTATTGTTGTCTGTGATAATGCTTTACTAACTTGGACTGGTTGTTTATTTTTTTTTAAGTGTTGTGTGCTGCCTTATGTGAGTCTGTGTTGGTCAAGGTATAAACTGAATTATTGTTTCTTGTTGATTTTAATACTAATAAAGATTAAAGAAATTTCGCAGAGAGAAAACATCTGCAGGGGTTTTCATCATTCTGAAAAAAATCTTAGGGCTGCAGAAGCACAGTTTACCTGGACTCTTGATAAAGATGCTTTCAAATGGGGCAACTAGAAATACTTTCAGTTGATGTTGCTTGTGAAACTGTGGGTTTAGAACTCCTTTTTTGCCTTTTCAATATGTATTTTGAGCTGTATTTTAAAGTGCTTCTAGGTTCACCAACTTAATACTGTCAGTAGACTTTCTCCAGTGATACTGTAGAATAATTCCCTTAAACTCACTATTTTACTTGAAAACTTAGGAGTAGTTTTACATACCTGGGACTGATTTAATCTCTCGACATGGGACATTTAATTACCAAAAGAATTTGGATTATTTTTTTGAAGAATAGTTTACATTTGTTACTAAACATCAATGAAAAAAACATTTTAAGTCAGCCAGTATGTTTTTATTTAAGTGTTGGCACTAAAGTTAAATAATCACCTGTCTTCAAGTGCTTCTTAAATCACAGGAATACTGATTGAGTTCAGAGCCAACCCCTTTTCCCGAGTCTGTGGAACCCTTGGAAGAAGGTGATATGTTTGCTAGTTTTATTGCTTTTCTTTTTTCCTTCTTATCTTTCCATATGAAGTTGGAAATTTTGATAAGTTGGAATTTTTACCCACTTCTCTGTTGTTTCTCATAAAACAATGTGTGTGGAAAGACATTTCTCCTGGGTCTTGGACACAAAGAAGAATCAGAGGTAAGGATCTATGACAGGAAGTTGGTATTGCATTCAGTTTACTCATGTTCAGTATTCCAATGCCATTAAAATAGTAGATTTGAAAACTAAGGTGCCATAATCAAAAAATTATGGCCTAAGCCATGTTTATTAATTGGAAATAACTACTCTTTATGCACTTACAGGAAACAGTCATTGTTAGCTTATAAAAACCCCAAAACCTAAATCTCCCCCCCAAAAAAAAACCCAAGTTCATTTCAGAATTTATAGATAATGAAGTGTGAAGGCATAGTGAGGTAATGGATGGAATAATAAACAAAAATAAGTCCTAGCTGCAAGCTGTGCTTAAGTGATTCTTGTAAGTTACTCTTTTTTCATAAAGACTGCAGAAAAGGAGTAAAGCTACTGATAAAAATGTCATATCTTTTAAGTTGGGTTAGTACTGCACGTAATTGCTCCTGCACAGGATAACATTCACCTGCAATTGCATAGCAACCCAAAATCAGAAAAGCTGTTCCAGTGTGCGTTCCTGTATGAAAGTGTGTCAACTGGGGCAGGCTCCCCAGTTTCCATGGTAGTGTCGTATTAACCAAGATCTTGTCATTTTTGCTGTCCTTATGAAACTTGTAAACCAGAACTGCTGAACTCTTCCTTTGAATTCTGAGCTAAGCGATGCTTAGTGACATTCCTTCATATTGCTTTGGTCTGTGTCCAAATGCAGAGGGTAGGAGCTGATTACATCTGGGTCCTTCTTTAAAAGTTTGTTGTCATTGCATCAGTAGCCCATTTCTCTGTGTAGGTGTTTGTTCAGATTTATCATAATCTGCTGACGTTTTCCTGTGGTGACAAAGTGCCCATAGGTAAGGGAAGTATCACCTCTGTTTTCTCGAAGGAACTTAAGAGGTTTCTCAAGAGAGAAACCTCTTCTTCCCCATCAGCAGGAGTTGGGAGTGTCTAGAAGAGGCATTCCAAAGGCTTGTAGAAAAGAACAGGTCCTAGAGTGGTGCACCTGCTTATTTTCTTTCCCTTGTAGAACAGTGACATTGCATGGTTTTTGCTAAAATTTACTACAATACTTTTTAAGAGGGAGTAAGAAGGAGTTTTTGTTTTTAATTGCTTTCTGTAAGTGAAAAGTTCTGATTCCTTCTGCTTGGGATATGCGTTTGCTGTGTTTGAGGACCTGCTAGTTTAACCAGAAGCAGACTTAAGTTTAGCTCTGTTTTGCAAATGTGGTGTTGCTTTACAGAGGAACACTGGAGATTCCAGAGAAATGATCACCTGTCAGAGTGGCTATAATATGTCAGAATTGTTTACAGGGTGCTAGATTTTTTTACTTTAAATTTCTTAGCATTGCAGGGAAAGTATGTCAGGGAAACCTTTAGGTTTCTGTTATATGTAGGACTTAATAACTATTACACATATAGCATGAAGCAATTAATCATTGCAGGTTTACATGACTGTGTTGCTCTAGCAGCATATGTATGGCAAAGAAACAATTTTTTTTTAATTCCCTCTTCCCTTAGTCAATGTTTAGGTTTGTGTAAATTCTTAATATAATATAATGTACAGTTTGATAATTCAGTATTGCCCCAAAAAAAGGCATTAAAATCCTGTTAAATGAGAATATGGCTTTGGATTTAACTTTTGAATTCTGCTGATTTTGAAAAATCAACTGAAATTAGCTGTGCTGCTTGTGTTACTATGTAAGGGCTTTTGACTAAAATAAAGTCTTCAATAAAAATTGGAGTGAAGCATGTATTTAACAAAGCAGATTAAATTCTTGGGCTTTTATTAATCACCCTTTTCTTTTTGTTGGAATATGTTAGAGATGCTTATGTTCTGCTTTAAGTGGCTAGGACCTGAGCATACTTAAATGTAACCAGTTCAAAACCTGAAGACTTCTTAACATCAGTGAGGATGTTAACTTGGAGTGATGTAACTAGTACAGCCAATAGTCTTTTCTTTTGCGATGAAATTCAGCCTCTGATGTCTAATACATGAAATTTTTCATTGGCCCAAATCACTTTGGAATATTTTTTTTTCAAATATAATCATCTGTTTATGAAAACACAGTAGAACAGTCTCTTGATTTGTCTTATGTGTAAATGGCTTTGGGAATTTAAATGCGTGTTAGTAACTGACCTCGTCAAGTAGTTCAAATGGCACAAAATTATTCCCATGTACTTTTATCCCATTAGGATTTTAGACTTTTTTGGCAGAAAATCATTGTGGAGATGGAAGAAAGCAATATAAAAATCAATGAGAAGTGGAAGTCACATTTTGAAGATAAACAGCAAAATAATTCTGATTTATGAATTTAAGGATCTTTGCCTTGTAGCCTGAAGTGGGCAGAGGAGAGCTCTTGTCTGTGCTACTGTGAGCATAGACAGAAGTATACAGAGGATATTCTGTGCACATTTCTAGTTACTGGGGCTTCTAACCCAGATTTTTTGCTATAAGCTTCTAAATGGAGCAGGAGATTAGCAGGAGAGGCCTTTAAAAAAAGAAACAACTAAAAAAGTTTTATCTGCTCCTCATATGTGTGGGTGAAAGATATGAGAGACTTTGGATTGTATGTGCATTTCAAGGTAGCCAACGATTTCCCAGTATAGATCAAACCAAAGGAGCTGTCGTTTCACAAAAGGGTAAAGTAAAAAAGGAAAGATAAAGTTGATAATCGGTAAAATT